GTCTGATGATCACAGAGCGAGAGACAAGAAAGGCGAGGCTCGCCAAGCCATTTATCTCTCTGCCCTTCAGTTAATCCCACTTGTGTTTATCGGCCAGGCTGGCACAATAAAGTATCTCACAGATGTATAAGGGGAATGTGGTAAAGAGTGTGTTCTTGTTGCTAGATACCATAGAGTCAGTTCTTTTGTGACCTTGTGCCACCAGAATAAAACATTACATGGTTCGGTGCCATCCTTGTTCCTCTGCCTGAGCCCATTGTTGCTGCCACTGTGTTAAGCCATCTCCTTGAGGGCTTTTCTCTTATTCACGTGCCCCCCCCTTTACCAAGCACCATGTCCTTCTCCAGGGTGTGGTCTCTCCTGCCAACATGTCCAAAGTACGTAAGAGGAAGTCTTGCCATCCTTTCTTCTAAGGAGCACTCTGTCTGTATGTACTTCTTCCAAGAAAGGAGTATGAATGGAAGAAAACAGGATTTTGTAGGAAAGTTGATGTGTAAACAATTTATTCTGGATGAAGGTAATAATAAAGTTATAATTTCTTAAGTACATCTTGCTGCTTTCGTTTTAATTGGAAAATACAGACTTTATTTTTTCTGAAATGGTTTGTTGCCACATTTATTTCTTGAATTAAGCTCATTTTCCTTTCTACCATTTCCAGAAGTGTGAGGCACTGCATGTGCCAGTTGCTCCAGTTTTTGCCCCTCCCACTGGGTCCCTCAGCTCTGCCCGTCAGCCAATCCCTCACGAAGGAATTCTAGCTCTGCGCCCACTTTCAAACAGGCACATTGGCCTGGAGTTCACATCTACATACAACTTTAACTCATCTTTTCTACTTTTCCAACTTATCTAGATATTTCTGTTCCCTGAGGCCCTGCCCTTTAGGATATGTTTTGGGCATCTGTCCTTTTTAATAAGCTTTAATTTAGTTCGATGACAAATTCCTTCACAACTCTCACTATGTGCATTTTGACCCCCGTTACTCTTAACCAAGTGGTGAGCATGCAGTAGGTAATCAGCCTAGGTTTGCTAGTTAAATTTAATTTGAAAAAATATATATCCTTCCAAGTATCTGGGCAGGGATTTACCTCTTGTAATGTCCTTAATATGCCATGTGCAATCCTTATTGCTTACATCAAGGATGTACAAATTGTGTGACTCATTACTCTAGAATTTCAAAAACTCTCTCCCGCTTCCACCTGTCTTAACTTGAAGTCTCTTCATTTCAGAGCCCTACACTAGCTTCTTGAAGTAACCACATGATCATTTTTAAAATACTTCCCTAAGATCAAAGTGATAAATCAAGATATCCCCGAACCGAGCATGGGGTTAAAAGCCAAAGGAGAACTAGATTTTATTTGGAATAGACCTTCATTTGGATAAATGTTTATAGAAGTGAGTAAGCAGGGTAGTATCATTTAAGATTTGGCAAGGAGACAGAGTAGACCAAAGAAACAGGAAGGAAATAGTCTGACTGTGGTCAGTTTTAAACTGGGTGCTTGTATATCCGTGGTCCATATATGGTTCAAGTATAAAAATCTATAGGCCCAAGACATTTTTTCTTCATTTAAGGGGAGCTCATTATTCAGCTCTGTGGCACAGCATCTACTATACAGGGACATAAAACTATGGCTTTATTGAAAAATTATTCTAATTTGACTCTTCAGAGATAGTCTGTAGATCAAAGTAAAATCGGGTTAAGTCAGACTATATGACAGGTGAGAAATATTGCTGAAAACAATGTGTTCCCAAGAGGAGATTCTGGGCTTACAAAACAGTGTCCTTGGGCTGAAGTGCCCACTCTGGCCGTGACCCGTGATGGGTGGTTTGAGATCCCACTCAGCCTCTGTTATACTCCATTTCCTCTTTTATGCATAAGGACAGTACGTCTCTAGTCATTATTTTCACATTGAGAACTATTTGACTCTTTGTTTGATTAAAACAAATAAATTCTTCAAAATACTGTAAAAGTTTTTCCTCCTTTTATTTAAATGCACCTTATTTGAATTACCCTGCATTATGGTTTTTAAAGAATCCTTCGTATCTAGGATTTCCTATTGGATTTGATCTTCACCAAAGCTCTGAGGGGGCAGGAGAGACAAGTGAACACTTAGTGAACAACTGGTATGAGCCAAATTTTTCACATGTACTTAACTCTCACAAAAGCATCATTACATGGAAAGTTTCATTTCTCCATTTTATACCTAAGGAAATCAAATGTCAGAGAAGTCAGGGAACATGCGCGCGGCCACCGAGCAAGGACTGAGGTGGCACTGGGCTCCGTTGTCAGATCTCTCTGATTGAGAGCCGTTGTCTTTCTAGTATGTGATGCTGGCATTCTATCAAACGGTAAAACGGAATGAATTGCACTTTCACCGGCTGAGAAATGGATCTAGAGACAGTTGTGTTACTAAAGGGGCCAAGGGGGCCCAGACTACTGCATGACGCCGTGAGAGGAAGTGACACTGTCTATAAGTTTTTCCAATAACTCAACAGAAATTTATGATTTTTAATAAAACACCTCACTCTAGTTATAGCAACAAACACATTCATAGTTTAGATCTTATACCTTATATATATCAGTATATACTGAAAAGGCTAAAGCTCTATGCTAACTTACTCTTTGAATTTGAATCTTCAAATGTGCTCCTGTCAGAACTTTCATTTTCATTCAATCAAAATGGCACTTCCAGTTGCATGGTTCCATCTGCACATGTTTCAAGTACCTGCTGCCCTTGGTTTGTTTTGAACAGTTTTATTGACACATAGCATACAAGTCAATAATTCAATCACAATAAGGAGAGTTGCATAATTATCACCACAACCAACACTAGAACATTTCCTGCTTTCTTAAACTCATTGTTACTGGTTTCTCATTCCCCCCACCCACCTCCCTGCCATCTCCACAAGGAACCATTAATCCAGTTGCTCTCTCTCTATATTTACGTATCTTGGATTTCATATACTGAAAAACATTCAACAACAGCAAAAAAAGAGAGAAACTAACAAAAACAAAATAAAATAGAGAAAAACCTCTATCAAAAAACAAAAGAGAAAATATTAAAAACTAGAACAATTTTAAAATGGGTCAAAAGCGAGATCAAATAAAATATTAAATGTTAACCCATGATAATCATCTTTACAACGCTCTCTGTCTGATAACAAGGCTATCTGTGACCCTCAACTAGGAGCAGAGAGGATTCCTCAGAGGCCGAATCGGTGTGTGAACCCTGAAAATGGATTTTAGGCTTCGCCTGTAGTCAATACCTTTCTGCAAAGCAGGTGTTCACAATTTAAGCTCTGATATCATTCCTTACTTCAGATTTGGATTATATTATTTACAGCCCTGGATCACACAGGTGGTGTGGACTTAGTTGAGGCCTCCATTTGCTGGCTGCTGGCTTTAAGACAAGCCTTGAGGGCCCCACTTGCCATTCTTTCTAATGACTGGGCTCCATCTCGTTTCTTCACCACACTTTGCTATAGCACCCATATCTCTAGTGATCTCTTCATGAGGGCGAAAATCTAACAGGGACATGTCGTATGAACTTATTGTTCTTAGCTTGGGACCAGAATTAAGAGCAACTCCCAAATCCATTCATGTAACTATTGTTTCTCTATGTCTCTAATTCATTTTAGAGACATCATTTTATATTAAAGAGCATTTTTTATTATCTCTCTGGGGCATACAGTATTTCTATTGATAGTGTCATTAAGTTAGCCAGTGGTATGAAATTTGAAACAGGGTTGAGAAAAGAAACGTATACAAGTACAGCTTCCAAAAATTTTATAGCAGCTGATTTTGTCAAATATTCTGTTGTTTTAGCTACAGAATTGTAGTAAGTAGTATTTGTGAACCTCTATCAATAACTTTTTTGGGGAATGAAGTGGTAATTCAAGAAAAAGATGAGAATTTTTCAAAGGCTTCTGTTCAATCACTAATAATGTAATTACTAATGCTGTAATTCACAGTAAAATATTTTTTAAATATTGCTGCTAGGCATTCATGTAATCTAAGAACTATTACAATAAAGCAATTTATAACTATGCTTATCACATGTTACTCTGATTAAACAGATAAAAACTGTAAAGGATTCAGTGTGGGCTGGTGTAGGAGGAGGTCGATGGTGGGGGATTATGGTGACCCCATGAGTCGTACGCCATAGGACAATGAACCAGAAGGACTTCCTAAATTTTGCAGTAAATCAGTATTTTGGGTGCTAGGGATAAATCTCAATACTTTTAGAAGAAAGTAGAAGCTCAGGCCGGGACAAGGTGCAGACAAATACCCTTCTGTGTAATAAATAAATAACTTTTTCAAGTTTTTTAAGTTGTGAGATATGAAAAATTTGAGCTCATTATATTTATAAATTTTTATTAAATTCTATTCAGGCACTTGCTGTTTTCTAGAGAAAACTTTCGAATGAGCACATTTTATATCCTAGAGATTGAGGAAGTTCTTTACTTTTTCCAAATCATGTTCTTGCCTCTCCAGCCAGACATTCCTTTACTCAACGTGTACTGTCTCCCCAGAGGATGCTATGAATTCGTGTTGAATTTAATTTCTTGTAAAATGTCCCTTTCTCTTCTGGAAATTCATTCGGAATGATGCCCAGACCCCAGGCTATTGAGCTCGAGGGCACTTCCTCCGGCTTCAGAGAGGGGCTGTTTCATTCAATGCTTCTCTTTGATAACTTCCTCCGCACTGGTTCTTTTATCTTGTGTGTTTTTATTGGCATTCCTTCTCTTCCCGTTTCTCTCAGTTGGCCAGGCTCCAAATGAGGTCAGCGCTTAGACTAGAAGTATCGTTTTCCAACACACTGTCAGAAGGAAAACTCCACCTATCACACCCACTGCTAATTACCATAATGCTACAAAACACAACATGCTGCTTCATTCACCCATCGCTCGTGACTGTCTCCAGAAAATGAGCTTGCGTCACTTGGAGACTATGTCTTCGGACCATTCAGACCCACAAAAAGCTCGGAGACCACCCTGGAAGCCATGGTTCTGCTACGTGGCAATGTTCCTGGTGCTTTGCCTCTGCATTAGCATTACGCTCATCTTTATTTTTTTCACATTAAAGGTAAGGAGACAATAGAACATAAGGTTGTTACTTAGTATAATTCTTTTTTCTTGTGTTTTGTTTTTCTTTTGTTACCATTGTCACTCAGGATTGCCATAGCTGGTTGGAGGAAAGATAGATAGGGACAGAAATCATGTAAATTTGATTCTAGTATCATCATGGTATATGGTTACTAAGGCTTATCTAAGCATTCTGAAAGAGAAGGTATCGGAGCTAAAAGTTGGTTATAAGAACTCAATTAGTGGGGATGACTTTATTGAATCTGTCAATTGGTAAATGCCTTAGAGTATTCTCTGGAACCCTGCTAAATACTGTTGATGGAAGGGAAAAGGTGTCAAGCATGCAAGCAAGTAGTACTTTTGAAGAGCAAGATATAAAGAGATAATAATGGAAGACAAAATAAATTAAGTGATACCTGGTTATTGTTTCATTTGAGGAGGAAAGAGTAACTGAACTAGGACCAGGAATATCTGAAATCTGACTCCAAGTTTTCCAAAAATCTGTTTATGAACTTGAGGAAACCACTTAATTTTTCTGGTTACCTGTTTCTTCTTCTGAAAAAAGAGTGGTGCTGGGGAATAAACATGTTTATTATATTGTCCCTTTCAGTTATAAAATACAGTGATCAATAATTCATCTAAGTGTAGTACACAACATAACTGATTTAGGAATTTAAAAGAGGGAGTAATGATTTTGGGCTAGAGTAATCTAGGAAGGCTTCGTGGAGGAAGGAGGAAGCACACTCCTATTTAGGAATCCCGGGATATTTATCAGGAATTTCCCATGGAACTCCAGCCCAAGGTTGACCTAGAGAAAGGGGTTGGATATTGGAAATGGAAATAAGTTAGGTTCTTATTAGCAGTTTTCTTCCTGTTGAATACATAGCACTAACCAAGAGGAAGTTAAGGATTGCTATATTTAATTTAGGGATTTTCCCATTTATGAACCCATTTAAAGAAGAATATGCAATGGTATGAAATCAGTGATCATGGAAGCCAGTGAAGACTTCAAAGACATGGTACTACCACCTAAGATATTTAAAAGCAGTTAAGAAAAGAGGAGCTTATATCAAGGGCTCAAGCAGAAAATGTCTTGGAAGTGATGACGGCAACATATGTACAAATATGCTGGATACAGTTGATGTATGGAATGTTATAAGAGCTGTAAGTGTCCCCAATTAAATTATGGGAAAAGAAAAGATGCAGAAGGAAGTCATACACTCTGGGGGTTTGAATTAATTTAGTTAAATCAAGTGGGGCTTGAGCCACATTTTTACCCACTAGCCCATTCAGTTATACACTGTAAATGTATAGGTGTGAAGGTGTGACACAGAATCGTTATGAATCATACCTCTGCTTTCTCAAGGAATGCATCCAAATGAAGGCCTGGGTTCTGGTAGCCAGTTGCATAAATTCGATGAGTCATTCCATTTTTCTGTTTGCAAATCTCTTCATCTGAAAAATGGCAGTGGGGGAATGAATGTATTTATCATAATGTCTCTTCCAGCTATAAAATTCAGTGATAAATGATGCAACCAAAGGAAAGATAGCATGTAACTTAAGCATGAACTTTCTGCAGCACTGAGTTTTGAGCAGAAGAAAAGTAATTGCTAGATATTTTGAATGCTTTGATTTGTGAAATGGGGAAGGGCAAAAACAGTAATCATTTAAACTTGGAGGTGACCTTTCCTTCTAAAAGCCACTCACATTTTGCTAGCCAGATGATGTTGCAGAACCTGGTGTATAGATACGTCTCATGGGCTCTGTCATTTGACGAAGAAACCAGCGCACAAATACGGAAAATGCCTTTTGAAGGGCACAGCTTGCCCCTGGAGAGGAAGAGAGGAGGTCCATTAAAGCCAGAGGCTTCTAGAACCTCTTACTAGAATTGATCCTAGATTCTTTCTCCTGGACAACATACCCCTTCTCCAGGAGACGCTCTGTCTCTAAAGATACAGTCCCGAGCTTGTTCTAAATTTGGAGTAGTGTCAGAGTTATTCAGGGTATTGTCCTGAATGGATACACGGAGACTGTAGTTTCTCTGAGAAAAGACCAGGGGCTTGGTCAGCTTTGCGTGGAGATTCTCACTTGCCTGCGCATCCTCCCCTTGCCCTGGTGGCCACAGACATGATTGTGGATTGGACAGTGTGAAAGTGGTGGCTCCTTGTGAGGTGGCCACTTCTTTACAAGGCGCTGACATGCATGAACTTTGGAACTTTATGCTGCTTTGGTCTCCACTGGATCTTTTTCTATAAATGGTCTAGATTTCGTAAACTAATTTAAGAAGTTTAAACCAGGAAGCTAGTCGTCTTTCTAGACCAACACAAACATTCTTTTGGAAAAGGTCCTTCCTTTCTTTTTTCTTTCCTTCTTTCAGAAGACATTCAACTGAAGAGATAGGTGAGAAATTCAAGGAATTTTGTACCTTTATTAATGAAAATAACCTCACAGGCAGTATCTCTAAGAGAAGCAATTTTCAGGAGAGCCTTTGATTCATGAAATGAAGTTGAAGTTGCACTTAAAGAAGAGCAGATTCTATTTCAAAAGGATGATGTGATTGGGGTTGGTTTCCAGCAAGACATATGTTTTGGACTCTTTCAACTTAATTATGTGATCCTGGGCTTGAATCAAATGGCATTACAAGAGACTGGCCCGTCTAAGAAAGAATAAACGGAACTGAACTAAATTGGAAATCTTCTTTCATATTCTTAAAAACAGGGGCATTTGCTCCTTTTAAACATCACTTGAATTATAAACAGAACCTCCCCCACAGAGTGGTAGTGGTTAGATGACTGAGTCAGACAGGGTGGCTTTGGGTCTTAGTCTGGCTTCTTATCAGCTGTGTGATCTTTGGCAACCGACTTACTATGCTTATTCTCATTTCTTCACCTGCCAAAGGAGTGTGGTCATATTTACTGTCCGGATTAATGAAATTGTCTAGAGTCTGGTACATAGTGGCTCTCGTTACATGGTATAGATTAATATCTGGACCATTATTATTAATGACCCTACAATGAACATTTTTAAAGATATAAAAAATATGACTATTCTTCATCTGCTTCACTTCTTCAACCAAGAGGCACCAGCTTGAGGTTTTTTAGGATTAAATTGACTTTCATTTGTGACAATAATTAGAGACTAACACACTGAGGATTTTTATAGCCCTAAACATGAGGCTTTCTGCTCCTGTAAAGATGTATAGCCTCAGAGACCCTATATAAGTTCACTATGCGTTAGAATCAACTCAATGAGAGTGTTTTGGGGTTTTGGGGTTTAATAGGTAGCTATGAGGGGAATTGACTCTATAGCAGTGAGTAAGTAGACCTAAAGCAGCCCACAGGACAGTAGCTGGAATTTGTGCCGCTGATAAATCATTTGTCTGTGGCCTTCTCTGCGCACTCATTATAAATGATAGCAGATGATACAGATACTATCTGTGACATGCACTTTGGCACCATCTAATTGCTTCATTGTGTAATCATGCCTTTGTAGAAGGATTTTAAATTTCTTGAGTAGCAAGGACCAAAAATTACTTTCTTCCCCCCCTCTCACCCACAATGTGAGTATAATGTTGGGAATCTATGTGTTTAATTTTTGTGGAATTCTTCACCATCATTAGTATCTTTATCAATTTAGCTAAGGTTACAGAGCAGATCCTGGTAGATATCTGGGCAAAGCTCTTCACAATAATCATCTGATTAAGCCCAATAACAAACTTATATTGTTACTATTATTTCCTTCATTTTATAGATGATAAAATTGAACGTAAGGGAGTCTTTAATCCAGAAACCTATGCAAGGCCACCTGTATTCAAGAATCAACCTTCTCTTGCCTACTTAAGACTCTAACAATTCGCTTTTATCTTTTAAGTGTTCTCTTAAATGCCCTCCTGCCTCCCCACTTACAAGTATTCACCTCAACATCTTGACATATTGCCATTTCTGTCATTTTAAATCAAGCAAAAGCAAACATACAACACCCCCAAATCCCTTTTACTTCTCATCCCCCTCCAGATTCTACTCAAATTTTATGCTGTTTCGCCTGCCCCACCAAGAAAAGTTCCCAATTTATCTTCCCCATTCACCCTTAAACCCACTCTCATTAAGCTCTGTCCTCATCACCCCACAGAAACTAGTCTTATTAAGAAGGCCAATGGCTACCGTATTGTGAATCCCTCAGTTTATTTTCTGTCCTTCTTTTACTTGAGAGTTTCCAGAGCATTTGGACAACTGATCACGCCCCTTCACTAAACACTGTCTTCTCTTGGGTTCCAAATACGCACTCTACTGGTGTCCTTGCAGACGCACCGGCTGCTCCTGTTCTGTCTCCTTCTGAGGTTCATCTCCTCCACCTCTGAACAGCGCCGTGTCCCAGTGCCCCCACTCCTCTCCTTCGACACCCCGACTCGATGATCTCACGACTTTTATTCCTTAAAAGCATCTGAAATAAGCTGGAGATCACTACCTTTCTGGTTCTATAACTCCTTCAGTTCCAACATCATTCATCCAACTGCCTACTTTATATCTCTCCCTAGAACCTGGTAACTATCACAGACTTAATATCCCCAAACAAACTCATGGTGTGTTTTTCTCCCCCTCAATCTACACTTTCTGCAAAGATAAGAGGCCAGGATTCTCAAAGAGCTACAGAGGAGTCATGGACTTTAGGAATCTGAAGCTCTGAGTAAAACAATCAACAAAGAAATGACACTGCCCTCCTCCTGACCAATTTCTCTTTTCTCTCTCCCCAGCAGACTGCCAACAAGCCATGTATAGCTAAGTTTGGTGAGTAACCTTTTTTGTGTGCTTCCTTTTTGATGGTTCTTAGTTTTAGGCACAAGGAAGAAAGCGCAAAGGTGATCAAGAAAGCCTGTACTGTATTCTCTTTTGCTCATTCTCAGGCTCCTATTTATAGCTGTGTGTATCCTATGAGAAGAATGAGGCGTTCTGCTCCCATAGAGATTTATCAAGCCTGGGAAACCCAATTTAGGGCATGAAGGAGTTGAAATCAGCTCATTAGTAATCTAAAAACTAGGGTTACAGAAGTGAATGAGATAGAAAAGCTCACGACCTATTGAAGCTTACATTCAACGTCTATTTTTCACCACTCTCATAAGACTGGGAATGTCTGAGATCTAAGAATCAGCTTTTAATTCTGTATTATAATAAGTACAAGCCTGAGATGCTCATAGTCTTTTTCTCTGGCACGCTTACACATCCCCTGCATTGCTAATGTCTAGTCGAGTAAGTGTGGAGATGCTTCCCTGGTTCACAGATTTGTAGAGAATGATATTGAGGTTTAGGGAAATGGCCCCTCCCTCCTATTCTTCCTCTTCTACTCTGAGCTTCCGACTCACTTTTTCTTATTGACACCTTGATTTTGCATAGAAAACATGCTAAAGGTTCCAAGTTTGCTGAGCCTTAAAGCATGTCTTAGAATACATAAAAATCTTTAGGTAAATATATTTATATTACTTATACATTCCAGACTAAACATATAAATTTCTGCTAGGAATAGAAAATCTCTAGAGTTACAGATTAAAAGCACAGTTTTTTGTGAGAATAGAAAGTTTCTAGAGTGAACCCAAACAACTCAAACAGTCAACAGTCCCCATTTCATCGGAACCCTTTTTGCTTGTCTCTTTCTTGTATGTTACGTGCATGTGGGTGTGTTCCAGTTCATGGAATGGGACTCACCGTCACATGTTTGAAATGGTTCCTTGTTGTGAGGAAAGCTGAGAACCCTACATAGTACTAGTCCTTACATGATTTCTTTAAACAGGGGAAACAATGACCTTTTTTCCCTAGAGATTTGCCTTTTGCTTATAACATGTCATGAGGGAATACATCTCCTGGGTTCATTAAAGGCAAATGAAAATATCATCTCTCCTTCCAAAGATCTCTCCCTCACTCTCCTTCAGAATCTCCTTTCCACATCAGTCATTCATGTAGGGATTAGACTTAGGGATTAGAATTTAAAATAAAGTATTGTTGCGTATCAGGGTTGCCACATATAACAAAGAAATTATGGGGAATTAGAAACAATCCAGATAATTATTTTGGATGGTTAAGATCCTTTAAGGGGGAGGGAAGGCTGAAATCATACTACTGTGTAAAACCAAGCAATTAACAGATACATATTTAAAGTCCATGTGCATCTGTGAAATAAGTGGCTAGATTTCAACCCTAGATCCACTCCCTGTGACAGTATTACATTAAGGATAAACCCCGAAATCAAACCTATTGCCATTATGATTCTTACTCATATTAACCCTATAGAACAGAATAGAACTGCCACTGAGCGTCTTCCTCTTGCAGAGTGGCTAGTGGAAGCTAGTGGGTTCAAACCGCTGGCCTTTTGAGTAACAATTGACCACCTAAGCAAAGGTACCACACAGCAGAAACATATTGAAATAGTCAAGTAATGTCCACTTGTAACTTATTCATTTATAGTAGCAAATGTTTTGAGGAATTCAGGTAGATCCCATCAGATATATAGTGATACATACTTATGAACTACTGAGAAAATTCACAATTCAGACACCATGTAACTAGTTCAGGCATAAGGACATATTATTCAATTAAGGAATATTTATTTAGCACACACTAGGTACCAGGCATGCTTGTCCTTTCTCATGATACAGCATTGAATGAGAAAACTATGTCCTTAGCTTCCAAGAGATTATATTCAAGTGGCTATAAAATAAACAATAAACAAAAGACAAGTAAATGTATAGTAGGCTAGAGGGTGACACTTGGAAGAAAATTAAAGCAGGGTAAAAAGACAGAGTGGCAGATTGTTAGCAAAGGTCTCACTGAGGAGGGAATACAAAATAAATAATATTCACATAGAAAAAGCATGTAAATGTGTCCAGTATTATGAATTCTGCCTATCTCAGAGCAGAGTGTGTATCTGTGTCCTCCCCATCTTTCCCTTCCATCATTTTCTTTTCTCTAAATTTTATTTTGAGTGCCACCTAAAAACTCACTGAACTATTTCTAAGCTTCCCAACAAGAGATACTCTTAGGATTTGCAATTCATTTGAAACAATGAATTTCAAATACAAATATCAGTGATCTATAAGGAGAGTAAAACTTCTCTGTAGGGTTTCCTATGTAGGCAGTAAATCTTTATGGAAGCTGAATACTTCCTTTTTCTCGCAGCTGGTGAGTTTGAATTATAAACCTTTTGGTTATCAAATGGATAGATAACCCACAGCACCACCAGGGCGCCTTAAACAAGGAATCAGCACTTAGAATATTAGACTTGTGGTTGCAGGGCACTCTATACCAGATAAAGAAAGCACCAACAAGTGGGAACCAACTGTCTATAATCCCAGAAGATGAAATAATTAAATAACTATGTTTCCCATTTTGTCTTATAGGACCATTACGTTCAGAGTGGAAAATAACGCCTTCTGTGCCCCTTTGTGTGGAATTGGAGATGAATGGGTCAGATGATTGGAAGGTGAAAATTCACCAGAGTGGCTTCTATATCATTTATAGCCTTGTGGTGCCTAATACAACCTACAAGGGAACAGCTCCATTTGAAGTGCAGCTACTTAAAAACAACTTCATCATACAAACACTCAATGACAACTCTACTGCTCAAAATGTGGGAGGAACTTATGAATTACGAGCTGGAGATACAATAGCCTTGAGATTCAACCATAAATACCAGGTTATAGAAAGTGATACACACTGGGGGATCATATGGCTAGCAAATCCCCACTTCATCTCCCAGTAACTTAAGTTGGTCTCCTCATTCTCCTTAGCGCATGCAGGGATGCCAAAGGTCAGCGTTTCAATGCCGGTTGTCTATGTAAACGGATTAACACAGGTAGACCCCCTCTGTATGGTGACTCTTCATCGTTCATGGTTCACTGAAAAAGACTCAGAGGACAGACCAAAGACACGTGGTTACTCCTGACGCTGGCTCCACAAAGACATCTGGCTAATCTATGAGGAAATGAACACGAGAACAAGAGTGACTAGAGGAGAGGACCTCCTCCAAGAGTCTCTGTCCAGAAGTCATATTCTCACCGGAGACGTGCCTACTCTGTAAAACAAAGTTCTGCTTCTTAACCTTGCCTTCTTCTCATGTTCCTGGGCTGCTTCACTACATTTTCCTCATACTTCATCCTTGTGAAAGCATCCTCATAAACAGTAGTCAGACGGGTAGTGGGGTCACAGATACGGCACCAACCCCCTTCTTTAGATGTAGGAATGCTAGCAGGTAGGGAACACTCCATGGAGCTCTTGGGACTTGTGAGTACAGGTGGAATGAAATGGAATATCCTGGATCTGGATTTCCCTTCATTTCATCATATTCAGGATTTATAAAATCAATTAGGATAATGAAGTCATTCTGAACCTTCACTAGGGCTTCATGAGAACTTTGTGTGTCATAACATTGCCGATGGTATATAAAGAGGGATCATTGGTAATCATTGGGACTAACCACAGAAATTAGTGTTGTGCGATGTAGTAATTCTGTAGTTTCAGCTGTCTCTCCACAGTGTGAAAAATGTTTTCATATATCCATGACAATGTGAAGAAGTCAATGGCTTAGGTATTTGGGGTACAGGTTTACCAGTACGAATATGGAGATAGAGCATGCGTAACTACCTCAACTCAGAGCTGGTGATTAACAGAGCCACAGCACTTTCCACTCTGTCACAGTGCTTTGGCTCTAGAGTTGGTCATTCTGCTATTAAATTATATATCTACAGAGTTTAGCAGAATCACTTTTCAGGAGGCACATTCTTCCTGTGCTCCAGGTGGACAGAGGAGGACCACAAGGAACTTTCTTTTCTCAGAGACTTCTGTTTCTTTCCCTTCCTGGAGAAGGAAGCTCTAGAACGCTGCTCAGGGCTCACTCAACCAATCCCCTTCCCCGCTTCGAAAGGCCCATCTCAATGAAATGTGTTAACTTTTAAACTTAGCGAATAGCACTCAATTCAATGAAAGTCTGCTAACGTTTGGAGTGTTACATTCGCTGCTTGTGAGGGCTTCTTTTTATATATATATATATATATATATAATTTTATATAAATATATATTAATTTTATATATATATATAAAATTAAAAACCTTTGTATTTGTGAAAAACTGTACTATGATAATGAATATCATTTTTATTGTATAAAATTTTGTATAAATATTGTATAAAATATTATATTGTATGTGACAAAAATTGTTCAAGAGCAAGCTAACAGGCTGTTCCTGAGTAATTTTTTAAAAACAGGAGCTATAGGGCAAAAGAACTGGGTGCTTTGCTTTTCCTACATTTAGCTATTTTCTCAGGAAATTATCATTGCATTATTTGTATATTTATAGAATCTCGGTGGTATTGATAACAATTGTGCTTCAAGCAGTGGTGTGCTGGAGTTTGCTAGCACAAGCTCATGAGAGCTGATGGTTAAATTTCCAAAAGTTTTGCAATGTAACGATTAAGTACTACCCTCCTTGAAATTGGCTATGAAGGGAGTATTTGTACCATGGAAATTTGCAAACACTAAAAAGCAGGGATTCTTTGTTTGATGAGTCAGTTCAGTAGCCCATCACCATTTGTAAACCCCCCCTTGTTGATCCCCTTTGACTCCTCTCTGCCCTTCTGCCATGTCATTCCTGGAAGAATCCAGGCAGGCTAAGGGAGAAAGTCTAATTGTCTACCCCTGCAGCCAGAGAGGTGCTTGTCAACAATGTTAGCATTCTCTTGGTATTGTAACTTCTGCCTTTGTGCTCAATGTATACGGTTTCCTTGATTCTCCAATCAGTCACCTACATTTTAAGCCTATAATAAAATATATGTTGACAACTGCAGTGTAATTGATTTATTTGTGTGTTGTTAGACTAAAGTTAGCCTTCCATAGAACACAAAGGTAAGTCAGAGAAGTACTTGCCTATATAATACCTTGATATTGTCCCTATATAAAACACTAGAGCTGGAGTGATCGCTTTTGGTCACAGCTACCCTGTTTCTGATGGGCTAGTTAGACAATTTCACCATCTGACTTCTAGGCACATTGCCATCTCTATCTCACCATATTCTCACCATCAAATCTGTCACCAGCATTTCTCACCCCTCCTCGGGTAAACAAGCACTCCTGCATTTCTCATCCATGGCACCCCCATGACTATTTCGAGGCCTAGGGCCAGAGCTGACCTCCCATAATGCCTCATGACCAAAGCTGTTTCTAGGCAGCAATCACGGGATGGCCTTGCAGAAGCAGTTCCCAGGAAGCCCACAACCAGCACGGCTCTTCTGGGCCTATCTCATGGATGCCCTAGGACCCTTCCCTATCTCATACAGTACAAAAACTTGCTCCCTCAGGGGGGCAGTGCATTCCAAACCTTGACCCTGTTGGCTTCCACAGAGTGACCACCAGTACTGCACCTTCACAATTAACCTCTAAATAATAAAGTCTGTGTCTCTCAGAGTGACTCCTGATCTGGTTTCCAGGCTCTCAGCAGCTACTACTTGAGGGACACCATCCTTGTTCAAGGCATCGCCTTATACCTTCCATTTTCGCCTGTCAAAACTGACCAAGACTGTGCTTGGCTTGGGCTAGATCTCTGCCTGGAAAATGGCAGTAGAAGGATGGAGATATGACTGTACATTTGAGCAGACTAGCTCCCTAACCAAAACCCCTGACTGCCATGGAGTCAGTTCTGACTCACCGTGACCCTACAGGATGGAGGAAACTGCCCCTATGAGTTTACGAGACTGCAACTCTCTATGGGAGTAGAACGTTCTATCTTTTCCCTAGGAGGTGGCTGGTGGTTTCGAACTGCTGACCTTGTGATCAGCAGTCCAACTTGGAACCACTACACCATCAGGGCTCCTTTAGTGAAGTGTATTTACACATCTTAGAGATGAAACCTGTGCCATGGTGTTTTATCCTAATGAAGCAATTTCTTTGAGCCACGTGGGGGGCTGTGACCGGTGGGATTTTAACTGCGAGAAAAGAGGAGACTGGTAGGCTTAAGGATAAGACTTGGCACATGTAAATAGAGCAGGATCCTAGCCCCATTCTCTGAAGGTTTCCATGACCTGCAAGGATGCACCGCTATACTAGGGGTCACTCCACTAGCCAGGACTCCTCTAGGAGTCTTCTAGGCCTGCACCAATGCACAGAAAGCTGTCATACATGCCTTCCTCCTGCAGTCTTAAGGACTGAGAGACTATCTCAATGTTGTAAAACCCTCCTGTCTCTACTGCTGAGGAGTTGTCCCTGCTCTTCCTAACATCTTTCCTGGTAGAGCCAGACTCCAGCCCACTGAGAGCTTTAGCTTCCTCAGATTGGAGTCAGACACTGGTTCTCTGTATCTCCCAAAACAAAAAACCCTTGGGTGGGCAAAAAAAAAAAAGTTTGCTCTTGGCTTTTAACTGAAAAGTTGGTAGTTCAAATCCACACAGCAGTGCCATGGAAGAAAGGCCTGGGGGGCCAATTCTGTAAGATTATAACCACTGAAACCTTATAGAGAGCAGCTCTAAACTGAATTCCAGAGATCAGTCACCCATCATAAAGGGGGCCTCCCGCCAAGCTTGAATTAGGAAGGTTGATTCCTTCCCAGAACTTCTCTATTCGCATGTGGTCACTATTCTTTCTCCTTTCAGCTTCCGTTCATGTCCTTGATCTGTCCGAGGGTCATTTTGTTGCAGATTTAGCATATTGGGGGTGGTGTTTTACTCTTACTTTTACATTGATATACAGGTAGCAATATATTGGTGTTTGATTGAAACTGAATCAGGATGAGCCCTGTCTTTAACGCCTGGCTATAATTGTGTATGACCAAAAAGGATATAGGGAGGCTTATCATAAAAAAAAAAAAAACCAGAAACACAAAAAGGTTCCAATCCACATTGCAGTGGTAATAAAATAAGAACAAAAGACTAATTATAAAAACAATATAGAGGGAGGAAAAATCACTATTTATTCCTAAAGAGCATTATTACAAATGAGCATAAAACATATTTATTTTTACTTTTTGTTGTTCTAAGACTATTAAAGAAACAGGAAGGAAATAATGCTATTTTACCTAGCCAGAATAAAGCATACTATTTTATTGGGAGAATGGACCTTTTTCCCTGTTGCTCAGGTGTAGGTAGACTCTGTGGTAGTTACATAACCACGTGTCAACCTGAGGATATTAAGATAAGGTGATCAGAAGTCCCGCTTTTCAACAAATTGTCCCGCGTCCCACGGCATTTAAAAAGAGTCCCGATTTTTGGAAAGAATGCACGACAAACTAGGGAACGGCGGGAGAAAGGGAAGGGAATATACGGTTTTCAACTGCCATGTGGCTATTTCGCCAGGATATGAGTTTTATATTATTTTTGTTAATTTTATAATGTTAAATTTTAATAATGACTCATTGTTGAGGACTGATTAGCGAGAACTCCTTACGCATTGTTGATCAGTTGTTAGAATTCGACCACCATTATTTGAACTTAATGAACAATGGCATTTTTGGGCATTGGCAACGATGAAAACATTTTGTAACTGTCTCTCAGACGATACACATCATACTGCGTGCTAGTGCTAGTTAAACAAGTGATGTCAACAAATCAGCTATTCAGCTAATTTAGGTAAGTAGTTTGTTTATTTATTTCATAAATACATAAAGTTTCTTGAATTTAGCAGACACTACTGGAATGATGTGCAAAAATCATTCTATCATATTACTCAAAATTTCCCATATAGTAATATTTCCAAAAATGATCTTTTTAATGAGGTATCATTATTAAAAAATATATTGATAAGGAAAAGGTTAAATCTTGGGCATCAGGAAAAATCACAATAGAGAACAAATGGTTAGAAATATTTCATCATTTTGAAACAAACCATGTTCCATAAAATAATGCACTAAAAATTGTGGAATATGCGCTGTCCTTACCAGGAACTGATGCTGTGACTGAACACGTTTTTTTCTATGGTAAATAAAGTGTGGGCATCCGAAAACTCACAATTAAGTGTTGACACTTTGAAAGCCATTTTATGTGTGAAATATAATTTAACAAATCCTTGTGAAAAATTTCATGACCTTTTAAACAACGACAGCAATCTGCTAAAAAAAATTCGCTCAAATGAGAAATATGCCAAAGAATAAAATACTACTATACATAATTTTTAATATATTGTATTTATAAATTGTATTTATGTTGAAATTTAAAAATATATATTACAATACTATTTTTGCATTCTATGAAAATTTTTGTTGCTCCATATAGACCAAATTTTTAATCAATAACTCCACCTCTACCCCTGGTCAATGGTGTCCTGCTTTACCAATGTTAAAATCTGGTCACCTTATATTAAGAGTGAAGGGGTGAAGTCTAACCTGTCAATCAGATAGATCACAGCCTCATGACTCCTCTTTGTGGGCATGGCCTTCTCATAAGGATTCTGGGAACTTCCTTTCTTCCTCCCTGGAGGTAGGCCATGCACTCTCTCTCTGATTCACCTTCCTCTTAACAAGCCACATGGAGATGCTTCCACTGCCACTGGATCCACAAGACTTTTCACCCACTGGCCTGTGATCTTCCTGCATTCATGGCATGTGCTGTGTGAGTTTGAATAATTTATGAACTAGTATCACATATATAAGCTAATGTCAAATTTATGAACTTGATCTGGACTGGGCTGGTGTGTTTTCTCAATATCCAATTGATGCTTGATAAAAAACGCTTTCTTACACACATATGAGTGTTGCGGGATTTGTTTCTCTAGTCAATCCAATCTAACACACTCTTCCCCCAAGTCCACTGTGTATGATCTAGACAGACCCCCACTCCCACCACCACCACCACTCACACAATGCAGACTCTTCTATCCATTGTATTTGAATTTACTGGCTTCTGATAGAAAGAACCCTGGTGTTGTAGATTACATATTAGGCTGTTCAGCCCAAAGGCAGCAGTCTGTACCCACTAGCCACTGTACAGGAGAATGATGAAGCTTTCTTCTCTCATAACAATTTATAGTCTCAGAAACCCCACA